CTTTCTTTCTTTTTTGATGAGCCAGCAGATGTTGGCAATTTGATCTCTGGTTCCTCTGCCTTTTCTAAATCCAGTTTGAACATCTTCAAGTTCTCGGTTCACGTACTGTTGAAACCTAGCTTGGAGAATTTTGAACATTACTTTGCCAGCATGTGAGATGAGTGCAATTGTGTGGTAGCTTGAACATTCTTTGGCATTGCCTTTCTTTGGGATTGGAATGAAAACTGACCTTTTCTAGTCCTGTGGCCACTGCTGAGTTTTCCAAATAAGCGGGCATATTGAGTGCAGCACTTTCACAGCATCATCTTTTAGGATATGAAATAGCTCAACTGGAATTTCCATCACCTCCACTAGCTTTGTTTGGAGTGATGCTTCCTAAGGCCCACTTGACTTTGCATTCCAGGATGTCTGGCTCTGGATGGTGAGTGATCACCCTATTGTGGTTATTTGGGTCATAAAGATCTTTTTTGTATAGTTCTTCTGTGTATTCTTGCCACCTCTTCTTAATATCTTCTGCTTCTGTTAGGTCTATACTGTTTCTGTCCTTTATTGTGCCCATCTTTGCATGAAATGTTTCCTTGGTATCTCTGATTTTCTTGAAGAGATCTCTAGTCTTTCCCATTCTATTGTTTTCCTCTATTTCTCTGCATTGATCACTGAGGACGGCTTTCTTATCTCTCCTTGCTATTCTTTGGAACTCTGCATTCAGATAGGTATATCTTTCCTTTTCTACTTTGCCTTTAGCTTCTCTTCTCCCATGCCTCTCACGCGACTTGGGGAAGGGAGCCATGGCGCCAGGACACCTCTATAGAGGTCTCCCATGACACAGATGTGGCCACAGTCTGAAACGAGACAGATACCTAGCAGCACAAATATTCCACCTGTGGATGGCATCAGGCTTTGCCATGCCTTAGTTCCTTTGGCTTAAGTATAATTGATAGTTGAGGTTGGAAGAGGTTAAATAACTTAAATAAGGTCACATAGCTACTAAGTAGCTAAGATCCCAGAAAGGAGGGCCTCCCCCCTCCCCCAACAAGGGCCTTTCAGGTTTTAACACAGCAACTCAGCCTTAAATGCAGTGTCCTCATGATGTCAGAAGTGAGGTGAGTGAATCACTGTTAGAGTGGACATTGGAGGCCAAGGCCATTCACAGCAGTTGGTGGTCAGGGCAACCTGACCTGAGGAAGCAGAGCTGCTGACCAGTTTGGGTCGCTTATGGGAGTGTTTAGACCACTGTAATTCTGATCTTGGAAGGGAGCAGAATCTGTGTCCACTGAAACAATGTTGTTTTTGGCTTTTTTTTTTCCTAGTCTTTTTGAAAAATGTGTATTTATATATTTGTTTGACTGCACTGGGTCTTAGTTGTGGCTCGAAGGACCTTCAGTCTTCATCGCAGCCTCCGAACTCTTAGTTGCAGCATGTGGTATCTAGTTTTCCTTCCAGGGGTGGAACCTGGGCCCCCTGCATTGGTACTGTGGAGTCTTAGCCACTCCACCATGGAAGTTCCTCTAAAACAGTGTTTTAAATTTGTTATTTGGGGTTGTAGTCACACATTTTTTTTTTCTCACCACATTGCAGCGGGCTTAATAGTGGCCCCCAAAGGTGTGCCCAGATTGTAACCCCAGAACCTGCAAAGGTGACTTTATTTGGAAAAATGATCTTTGCACATGTAATTGTGGATGTTTAGATGAGATCACCCTGGATTTAGGGTGGGTCCTTGTTTGTGTTCAATCGTGTCTGACTCTTTGTGACTCCATGAACTGTAGCCTGCCAGGCTCCTCTGTCCACAGAATTTTCCAGGCAAGACGGCAAGAATACTGGAGGAGATTGCCATTTCCTACTCCATGTCACACATTTTAGAGGTAGGTGGGAAGAAGGTGCTGGAACCAGACTGCCTTGATTCAAGTCCTATTACCTCTAAGCTGCCTGACCTTCAGTAAGTTATTTTCTCTCTCTGCACCTTAGTTTCCTCTCTTCTCATTCTAAAAATGGGTGCAGTAATAGTGCCTACCTCATGCTGATCTATCCTCAGTTGTGTCCAACTCTTGGCAACCTTGTTCATGGACTATAGTCCATCAGGCTCCTCTGCCCGTGGAATTTTCCAGGCAAGAATACTGGAGTGGGTTGCTATTTCCTTCTGCAGGGGATCTTCCCAACACAGGGATCGAACCTGCATCTCCTGTGTCTCCTGCATTGGCAGGTGGATTCTTTACCACTGCGCTGCCTGGGAAGCCGCCTACCTCATAAGCTGTGGCAAGAATTAAATGACGTGACACATGTGAAGCTCTTAGCCCAATATTTTGCATTTAGTTAAATGCTCTATAAATGTCTCTTTTATTATTCATAGTATCATTTCCGATAGTGAGCTGCTGCTAATGTGTGCTGTGTCACAGTGCTTAAGGTCACCATTAGAGATTCAGCGTCCACACAGGGCCGCCCATACAGAGTTGACAGTGGTCTTGGGCAAATGGGATTTATTTGTTCATTCAGCAAATGTTTATTGCGTACCTTCTGTGGGCCAGGCCCCGCTCTTTTTAAAAATTAATTAACCGGTTTTGGCTGTGCTGTATCCTCGTTGCTGGGCGAGGGCCTTCTCTTGTTGCCCGGCACGAGCTCTAGGGAGAGAGGGCCCAGTAGCTGTGGAGCACAGGCTTAGTTGCCCTGTGGGCTTGTGGAATCTTCCCAGATCAAGGGTCGAACCCTGTGTCCCCTGCTTTGGCAGGCAGATTCTTATCCACTGTCCCACTAGGGAAGCCCCGGGCCTTGTTTTGGATACTGGAGATAGGCAGTGAACAAAACAGAAAAACCCATGTCATCATAGGCACTTAATTATAGGTTCTTGAGGGGAGGGGTGATAGACGATAAACAAAAAAAATCTGCTTATCACATGCAGATATGTACTATGGGGAGACATAAAGCAGGGGATGAGATGAGGGTTGGAGGTTTACACTTTTACACAGAGTCAACTGAAAAAGCCTCACTGAGGTGACATTTCAGCAAAGAATTGAAATTAGTGAGGGAGTGAGCCACGTGGACATCTGCAGGGAAAAGTAGGTCAGGCAGCAAGAACAGCAAGTACAAGGGCCCTGGGGCAGGAGGATGGGTGGCTCGAGCCCAGAGAGGGGCAGAGTGTAGGAGAAAAGATCAAAGAGGTAAGAGATGGAAGGCCAGAGTGTATAGACCCTGCCGGCCACCGAACAGAAGGACAGGATCTGACCACAGAGCACTCCGACTCCTGGGTTCAGCAAAGATGGAAATGAGAGGCCAGGGAGGTGGTTTCACACAAAGGTGATGGTGGCTAGGACCAGAGTGGAGAGATGGAATGTGGTGAGAATGGTGAGAAGTAGTTGTATTCTAGGTAAATGTTGGTGACAGAAACCACAGGACTTGCTGTCACATCGGATGCCCCAAGGTCTCTGGCCTGAGCCCCTGGAAGGGGGGAGTTTCCATTTACTGAGGATGGGCGATCTGCGTTTGGAGCGTTTGGGAGATAAGTCAGTCTGTTTTGAATGTGGTACGTCTTGCAGACACCCAGCTGTTGGTGTCATCGCAGTTGACTGTGTGAGACTGTGTGAGACTGAGTTTAGGGGGAGAAAGTCCAGACTGGAAATAACAGCTTGGTGCACAGGCAGTGGTGTGTTGGTAAATGTTTACCATCCTCTGGAAGAGGTGGCAGTTGGTGGCCAGGAGCCAGCTTGATAGCATTTGCCAACACCTGCCGCATAAATAAATGTTCCCACGCCGGCCAGTTTCAAGCACGCCATTACAGAATACCTTCACCTTATAGATACCAGTCAATCCTAAAGGAATATTCATTGAATAACCCTGAATATTCATTGGAAGGACTGATGCTAAAGCTCCAATACTTTGGCAACCTGATGCGAAGAGCTGACTCATTGGAAAAGACCCTGATGCTGGGAAAGATCGAAGGCAAAGGGAGAAGGGGAAAGCAGAGGATGAGATGGTTGGATGGTGTCACTTGACTCAATAGACATGAATTTGAGCAAACTACGAGAGAGAGTGGAGGACAGAAGAGCCTGGTGTGCTGCAGTCCATGGGCTCGCAAAGAGTTGGACATGACTTTGTGACTGAACAACAGATGCAGTTGGTTAAATAATGTCAAGAGCATAGATAATAGTAACATGAAGTAAATCAATTAGGGAGTATTGAGTGTTTAATATCTTTGTTCTTAAATATAGCTTCTTTGATTCTGAACTTGTGTAATTCAGTTTTAATAGGGGCCGTGTTTAACAACTGACTTGACAAATTCCTGAAAATTTAGGAATTGAATCTCTCATGCAGATATGTGATGGCTCTCACACACCATTTGAATTGCAGGGACCAAAGATTGACCTCACGAGGTGATGGGAATAAGGATTCTATGAGTTTAGGGGGGGAAGTGGTCTCAGAGCCGATCTTGGGGTTCTGTCCCTTGTCTAGCTCCAAGGGGTTTAATGCAGGTCACAGTTGATGATGATGGGTTTGACTTACCTCCACATAGGGGTGTCTGTACAAAAGGCCCAGAGAATAGAGGAGGGAGTGTGGGAAACATACTGGAGCTGGCTAGTGTAGAAGGGACTGGCACATCCCCTTGTACTTCAGCAAAAACTCCTCTTCACTTTGAACTTTTGTTTCACTCCCACACACTCTTATAAAAAATACCAAGCTCATGAGCTGTGATTTGAAGAAAATTCCTCTTCCCCCTGCCTGGCAAACAGAAAGCAGAGATCAAAGGTGTGGATGTGTCACCAGGGAAGGCACAGAGTGCCAGCAACTGCTAGCGTCCACCTCCTGGCTCCTTTCTCCTGCCCCTTGCCTGCTGGGGCCAGAGGGTCAGAGCTGCTTCCTCCTGTGCTTTCCCAGAACCGGCTCTGCCACCCAAGTGCCCGCCCAGGCTGAGACTGGTCCTGGGTGCGCCACACGTCTGCCTCTCTCGCTTGGGAACCCTGCTTCTGGTCCATACCCTCTGGCTGGCCACGTCCACGCTTGCAGCTTTGGGGATGTTAGCAGAGCCTCACTTTAAAAGGTGAGTCTCCCAGAAGGTCCAGTAGGAACCCCTCACCCTGGAGCTGGGGGCAGCGAGAGGTGCTCTGGACTCTGGACATGGGCCTGTCCAGTCCCGACTCTTGGATGAGCCTGTCACACCCTGGAAAAAGCCTCCGCCATACCTCACTTTGTAGAAAGGTGGGCACTAGTGGTAAAGCAGGAGATGTAAGAGACATGGGTTCGATCCCTGGGTTAGGAAGATCCTCTGGAGGAGGGCACGACAACCCACTCCAGTTTTTTTTTTTTCATTTATTTTTATTAGTTGGAGGCTAATTACAGTATTGTAGTGGTTTTTGCCATACACTGTCATGAATCAGCCATGGATTTACATGTGTTCCCCATCCCGATCCCCCCTCCCACCTCCCTCCCTATCTGATCCCTCTGGGTCTTCCCAGGGCACCAGCCCTGGGCACTTGTCTCATGCATTCAACCTGGGCTGGTGATCTGTTTCACCCTTGATAGTATACTTGTTTCAATGCTGTTCTCTCAGAACATCCCACCCTCGCCTTCTCCCATAGAGTCCCAAAGTCTGTTCTGTATATCTGTGTCTCTTTTTCTGTTTTGCATATAGGGTTATTGTTACCATCTTTTAAAATTCCATATATATGCATTAGTATACTGTATTGGTCTTTATCTTTCTGGCTTACTTCACTCTGTATAATGGGCTCCAGGTTCATCCATCTCATTAGAACTGATTCAAATGAATTCTTTTTAATGGCTGAGTAATATTCCATGGTGTATATGTACCACAGCTTCCTTATCCATTCGTCTGCTGATGGGCATCTAGGTTGCTTCCATGTTCTGGCAATTATAAACAGTGCTGCGATGAACATTGGGGTGCACATGTCTCTTTCAGATCTAGTTTCCTTGGTGTGTATACCCAAGAGTGGAGTTGCTGGGTCATATGGCAGTTCTATTTCCAGTTTTTTAAGGAATCTCCACACTGTTCTCCATAGTGGCTGTACTAGTTTGCATTCCCACCAACAGTGTAAGAGGGTTCCCTTTTCTCCACACCCTCTCTAGCACCCACTCCAGTATTCTTGCCTGGAGAATTCCATGGACAGAGGAGCCTGGCAGGCTCTGGTCCATAGGGTTGAACAAGATTTGGACACAACTGAAGTGATTTAGCATGCATGCGTGTGCATGCTACTGGCAAGTATTTGGAGTAATAATTGTAAATGAGATTGCATCCTCCACACACTGAAGTTAGAGCTTCAGAGAGCTTGGTCTTTTAACTTCTGAGTGACTCCCAGTTATCAGTACCATGCTTTCTACTTCAGTCCTGTATTTCCTGGCCTAAACTGCCTTTAGAAAGGTGATGGCCATCTCCCACATAATAGAGAGGTTATCTCCTTTCCTTGGAAAACAGAGTTTCCTGGGAGGAAAGTGCTGTCGAACTCCTCTAGCTGCCTCTCTTCACAGGTGGGGAAACTGCAGTTCCCAGCTAGGAACATGCAAGTTCAAGGTTACACGATGTTTAGATTTTTCTGTGTACTAATCACCACATGTTCCAGTCCACAGTTGAATACACTGTCCTCCTGTCCGGTGGCTCATACATTGCACTCATGGTTTTCTTATTTATTAATTAAACATAGATGCAGTTCATAGCAGGATTGGCCGTTGGAATGCCACTTTCTGTGTTTTTTTGGCCAAGTTCAAGTATGTAATCTTAGGAGATGTATTTCATAGCCCATTGCTCTCAGAGGAGGCAAGGAAGCAGGAGAAAGTTTTTCAGAAAATCCTTTATAAGAAGAGGTTTGCAGTCCGAGAGCAGTTTAGGCCACAGGTGGCCATGGAGCCTCTATCCCTGTTACCTCTGCTCCAGGGGCTAGGAGCCTGGTCTTGACTTTGATGTAATTGGACTTCTCAGAACCTGTTTATTCCTCTGTTGGGGCAACAGAGAGGACATCTGTATACCTGTGTACCTATCTACTCAGGGTATAAGGGCAGGCGGGGGCGGGGGGGGTGGTTGTTGCATAGACGTCTGGGTGTGTCCTGTACTGTCTGCAGGGCTGTGCTCTGGAGCTCCTGAGAGGAGGGAGCAGCACAGGTTTTCCTGGCAGCTGCAGCAGCCTGATGCCATGCTGGGCAGGGGCAGGGCGCACTCTACATTAATTAACTTAGCATTTGCTTTTTGTTCTTGTTGGCTTTTTATGTGTGTGTGTGTATGCATGCAGTGTGTGTGTGCTCAGTCATGTCTGACTCTTTGCAGCCCCATGGAGTGTAACCCACCAGGTTCCTCTATCCGTGAGATTTCCCAGGCAAGAATACTGGAGTGGGTTGCCATTTCCTCCCCCAGGAGATGTTCCCGACACAGGGATCAAACTTGCGTCTCTTGCATTGGCAGTTTAATTCTTTACCACTGCACCACCTGGGAAACCCAATATATATTATATGTACATTTGACTGTCCTGAGTCTTCTGGAGAAGGGTATGGCAATCCACTCCAGTATTCTTGCCTAGAGAATTCCATGGACAGAGGAGCTGGTGAACTACAGTCCATGGGGTCACACAGAGCCAGACAAGACCGAAGTGACTGAGTGCACACACACCCACTGGGTGTGTGTTGTGACATGTGGGATCTAGTTCCCTGATCAGGGATCAAACCCAGGCCCCTGCTTTGAGAGCGAGGAGTCTTAGCCACTGGACCACCAGGGAGGTCTCTAACTTAGCATTTGTATAGGGTTTTTGTCACTGGTGTCATCTCAGCTAGTCTTTGCAAACCTCCATTTAGTTTGGGGAGTATTAGCCCGTTCGATAGGTGAGGACTGACAGGTGGCTTGATTGGATCACGCAGAGCTCGGACATGGCCTTAAGCCCAGGTTTTCTGACCCAAAGGCCACCTTCCTCCACTCGACTCGGGGAGCCATTTCACACAGCACCTGGGGCCTCGGGCTCTGGAACTGGACAGTGGACTTGGCCTGCTGTCTGCTCATCTGTGAAATGGGATCCTTGCAGGACTCCTTCCCAGCGCTGTGTGGAAGGAAGGTTGAGACTGTGTGTTTACATCGTCTGGCACACGCTGACTGCTAGGTAGATGTCAGGTTTATTAGGCTCAAGGTTATCAGTAACCAGGTTTTGAAGGAGGATGGGTCCATTGCCAAAATTCAGGGTAGCTTTGAAATGCCCATGTTTGCACCTGCCCTGGGCCCACTGGGGTCAGAGGTTCACTGTCCTGGCGAAGGCAGTAGGAGGCAGGAATGTGCATTTTGAGTGGACTTTCCTGGAGAATCTCCCCGCAGTGCCGAGACCCGGGTTCAATTCCTGGGTCAGAGAAGATTCCCTGGAGGAGGGGATGGCAACTCACTCCAGTATTCTTGCCTGGAGAATCCCATAGACAGAGGAGCCTGGCGGGTTACAGTCAATGGGGTTGCAAAGAGTTGGATACAACAGAAGCAACTTAACACATATACATGCACATGCATTTTGAAAACCCTGCAGCCGAATCAGATCTGATGCTTTCCTCTGACACTGGCCCTGACTCGGCTTCACTGCTCAGCATTCCAGACCCTGCTTCTCTCGGTGGTCTCTTTGGGCTAGCTTTCAGCACCTTAGGCCCCATCCCCAGACCCTCTGCCCCAGAATCTGCATTTTTGAAAGAATTCTCCAAGAGATTCATAAGCACATTGAAGTTTGAGAAACACTGTTAAGGTTAAAAAAACATGGTAATAAGAAAAGCAAATGCTCAGGACTGCTCCCTTCCTGACTCATTTAGGAAAGGGTTGTTCCCTGGTTGTTTAGCAATCACAGAGTAAGCGGCCGTGTTGCAATAACTGATATTTCTGATGTGTATTTGTTTAAAGGAGGCTGGGGATGTAAGCAAGAGATAAGGGCATCTAACCTGAGCTCTGGGAGCCCAGAGAGGGCTGGGCAGAGAAGACTGCAGCAGACTTCAGAGTCAGAACAGAGTTAAGTGGAGGTCTGGGGGTTGGCTCAGGTTTTCTGCCATCTCCTGGGGTGGAGGTAGCAGTGATGGCCCTCCAAGCACCCTCACCTGCCTCAACAGGCCTGTCCAGACCTCTGGCTGCCAGTGTCCGATCAGGAGCTCCGAGACGCAGCTGCCAGCTGGCGGCTTCTCCTTCTCCAGGCTGTTCCCTGGGCTTCAGATTTCTTGCTGCCTCTTTCCCGCACTGACCTTGCAGCTTTTCCTTCCCTCCAAACAGGGGCGGTTTGCCAGTTAAGAAGGAAGTGCTTGATGGGCCAAGGATAGGGATCAGAAAGCAGAAGAGGAAAGTTGAATGGCCCTGTGGTCTGAATTCGGGCACGAGTGCTGATAATGGACAGTGGAAGAGGAGGCTGGGGGTGCCGTGCGTTGGGTCCCTTGGTCCTTCAGTTAGACCTCCCATGATGGGAAGGTCTGGTGTCCTATAGATTCTGGTGCAGACACTGTTGCTGGGTCCTCATCTTGGTTTGACCACTAACTGAGGCCATGTTGGAGATGAATCTCAAGAGAGGTGGGGAAAGAAGGGAAGGGCAGAGTGAGGGGAGGGGTCTGATGTCAGAGTGGGGGACAGATCTGGTCCCTCAATACAGCGAATGGTGTTGGGGTGAGGGGAGGTCTGCAGGGCCTTTTCGGAATTCCTTCTGTCTCTTTAAACCTCAGTTTCCCCATCTGCATAACTAGATTGGCACCTCATTGTTGAAGACTGTGTTAACCCTTTATGGGGAGAGCACCTGCCATATAATCAGTGCCAAGACAGTCATCCTCATTCCTTCTTCAGTCCTCCCATACCCCAGGCTGGGCCCCAGGCCCCGACCTGGGTCTGAGAGCCATGTCACGTTCCTCTCCATTCCTTCTGTCTTTCCTCCAAAGCACTGGCCTTGGCAGGGACTTGGAGAATAGGCGAGCCAGGGAGTGAGAATTGAACATATCCAGCCCTACAGCCTCAGTCTGAACAGAAGGCCAGAGAAAGTAAACCCTCCTTGCGTCAGTGACAGGTCTGGGGCCTTGCCTTTCCTGCATGTCAGCTGCTTCAGTTTAGACTGAAAACCAGCCAAGAAGTTAGACTAACCTCAGGGAGACCATAGTGTGTAATTCCTGCCCATCAACTCTGGAGTCAAGGAGCCAGATGCCTGCTTGGCTTCCCCCGCTTTCTCACCACAGGACTTTCACCTGCCTGAGCCTCAGCTTGTCTGTCTCTAGCAGTAGGGGACTGTGATAGTACTCCTCCACTGGTTCTTTTTTTCCTGTAATATTTCTTTATTTGGCTGCGCTGGGTCTTAGTTGCAGCACATGTGAACTTCGATCTTTGTTGCAGCATGCAGGATCTTTAGTTGCAGCTTGTGACTTCTTAGTTGCAGCGTGTGGGACCTAGTGCCCTGACCAGGAATTGAACCTGGGCCTCCTGCAGTGGTAGCTCAGAGTCTTAGCCAGGGAAGTCCCCCCTCTGCTGGTTCTCTGCAAGGCTCTTGTCTGGATTCAGGGAAATCTGATGCACAGAAATATTTAGCTCAGTGTTTGGCACATGCAGCATCAAACATTCAGGGTTTGATGCTATTAACATACACTATAATGTATGCTAACCCATCCTAGTCCCATAATGATAGCCACCACTTATCTAGTGCTTAATAGGTGGTAGGCATTGTCCAAGACATTCTCAGCAGTCACTCATTTCCTTCTTTTAACAGCCCTCTGGTGTAGGTACCATGAATACCCTCGTTTCTGATGAGGAAACTGAGGTACAGAGAGGTTAAATAATTGTTCAAGTTCAGGGTTGAGCTGGGAGTCAAACTCAGTTGGTTCCAGAATCCAAGTTTTTGATCACAGTGCTGCAGCAATGATTAGTGGTCATTTTGTGGACTTCCCTGGCAGTCTGTGGCTAAGACTCTGTGTTCCCAGTGCAGGGGGGATGGGTTCTGTCCCTTGTCAGGGAAGATCCTGCATGCTGAGCAGCCAAAAAAAAATGTTAGTGGTCACTTTGTGCTTGGAGTCCAATAGATACGGGAAAAGCAGACAGAGAAGTCAGGGGGCAACGATGTCCCCCCAGCTCCAGGTTGTCATCTAGGACCATGGCCTGCTGCTCTGATGACCCCGGCCACCCGTGCTGATGGACAAGACTGGTGTTCATCATAGAGTGGACGGCTCCAAGCGCACGACCACGCTGGGGCCTCCCGGGGGGCTGCTGCTCCCGCACAGAACGGCCCCTCTCCAGCGAGTGGCGTTATCTCTGCTTACAGGGTAGGCTCCTGGCCCACTGGCTGCTTGGCACAGAAGCCAGGCTGTGAGGAGGGAGAGGGAAGCTGTGCGACTGACACATTTTCCTGTGAAACAGGTGGCTGTTCCTTGCCAGGCAGGAAATGTTTGATAACCTAAGGATGTGTTCCCCCCCCAACATCGCAGCCATCGAGCCATGTCTGATCCTTCCTTGTTGCTTCTCTGTCTTTCCTAGGCGCCCAGGCATCTGGAAGATGCTCATGGCGGCTGTGTGCGTGGCCCTGCTCAGCGGCTTGCAGGCCCAGGATCTCCCCGGACAGGTCTCCATCATCCTGCTGGGAGCCACCGGGGACCTGGCCAGAAAGTACCTGTGGCAGGGCCTGTTCCATCTGTACCTGGAGGAGGTGGGGAAGGGCCACCATTTTCGCTTCCACGGGACCGCTCTGACGAGCACCGAGCAGGGCCAAGAGGTCATCGCCAAGGTCCTGGAGTCCCTGTCCTGCCCCAGGGACATGGCCCCGGGTCACTGTGCTGAACTAAAGGCTCAGTTCCAGCAGCTGAGTGAGTACCGCCGGCTGAAGACCCCCGAGGACTACCTGGCCCTGAGCAAGGACATCGAGGCCCAGGTCGAGCACGAAGGCCTCCGGGAGACTGGCCGAATTTTCTACCTCTCAGTGCCGCCCTTTGCCTACGTGGACATCGCCCGCAACATTAACAGCAGCTGCCGGCCAGGCCCCGGTGCCTGGCTGCGTGTCGTGCTTGAGAAACCCTTTGGCCATGACCTCCACTCTGCCCAGCAGCTGGCCGCAGAACTGGGGAGCTTTTTCCGGGAAGAGGAGATGTACCGGGTGGACCATTACCTGGGCAAGCAGGTGAGCCGCAGCCCGGAGCCTGCAGGGTAGAGGGAGCTGGGGTAGGTAAGACCCTGTCCTCAGGGTGGCACCACTGAGTGTGGAATTGGCCCCGAAGGCATTGTGAGATCTGGGCTCCCATGGTCATCTTGACTCTGGGCAGGAGGTGAATGGAAGCGGCAGGACTGCTTGGCCCTTGCCCATGTATCCTGTTATTTTTATATCCTATCTTCTGTTTCCCAGCCTGGGTCTGGGCTCTGATTCCTCAGCATGGCCCCGTGTTCTGTACCGAGGGGGCCCTGAGACTCTGGGGTCTGGGCCCGGCTTCCGGGTGGGCATGCTGTGAGAATTAGAATTAACCACGTTACTCCGTGTCCATCTGCCTTTTCTCAACACCTTTTCCTTTCCAGGTTCTGTTTTGAGTCAGAAGCCTGGCGACAAGATCTTAAAACAGGATAGGGACTCTTTGAGTCCTTGCTTCTCCTCTAGGCCCTATGGTGAAGCAAGGGGCTGGCCTCCTGGGTGAGGCTGGTCAGCTGGCCAGTTCAATCTGAGCAGACCCTCAGGGCCCCTCAGGACACCTCTTCCTGGAAACCAGAGCAGAAAACACACGAGCACGTGTGTTCTCTGGCCCTGACCAGGCCATGGGCCCAGGGCCACGTTGGGGTCATCACGGAGTCATCTGGGGTGGAGGCATCACCTTACATCCAGTTCTCTTTGGAGCTGCAGTGTTCCAAAGATAAGCCCTTAGACCACTGCCTGTCCTGGTAGGTTTTCACTTGTTTAGGGGAAAATTATATTAAAAAAAAATACTGGATGGTATTCAATTTGAAACTTTTCTTGCTCCAATTTTAGTGTTAAAACACCTTTCTTTTATTAAAAATGGATGGTAATAGAAGATCAGTTCAGTTCAGTTGCTCAGTCGTCTCTGACTCTTTGCGACCCCATGGATTGCAGCATGCCAGGCTTCCCTGTCCATCACCAACTCCCAGAGCTTGCTCAAACTCATGTCTATCAAGTCGGTGATGCCATCCAACCATCTCATCCTCTGTCGTCCCCTTTTCCTCCTGCCTTCAGTCTTTCACAGCATCAGGGTCTTTTCCAATGAGTCAGTTCTTCCCATCAGGTGGCCAAAGTATTGGAGTTTCAGCTTCAGCATCAGTCCTTCCAATGAATATTCAGGACTGATTTCCTTAAAGATTGACTAATTGGATCTCCTTGCAGTCCAAGGGACTCTCAAGAGTCTTCTCTAACACCACAGTTCAGAAGCATCAATAGAAGGTAGAGAATCTAAAAAAGGCTGCTAACCCTGTGGAGGTCACTGAGAGGTTCTTGAGTCCTTACTGGGCTGTGAAGGCCTGGCATCCAGGGACTTTTGCTCCCGAGAGTGTCTCCTCTGAGCGGGATGGAGAGGTTGCAGGCCCTTCCTTGGGGTCAGGATTCCCTCTTGGTCCCCAGAGAAACCCATAGCTCTGCAGTCTTCCTCCATGGCAGGTAGTGGCCCAGATCCTGCCTTTCCGAGACCAGAACCGTGCGGCCCTGGACGGCCTCTGGAACCGGCACCACGTGGAGCGGGTGGAGGTCGTCATGAAGGAGACACTGGACGCGGAAGGTGCGTGAGCGGTCCCCGCCCTGCATCAGTGGTTTGGCATTGGCCCCCGCGCCATGGCCAGTGCTGTGTGCGTGCGTGCTCAGTCACTAAATCATGTCCAACTCTTTTGAGACCCCATGGACTGTAGCTCGCCAGGCTCCTCTGTCCATCAGATTTTCCAGGCAAGAATACTGGAGTGGGTTGCCATTTTTCTCCTCCAGTGCTTGCTTAGATTTCGCTGGTGTGCAGTCTCCTTTCAGGGCCTGTGTGTGCCCAGTTCTGGGCCATGCCATACCCCAGGGGGCCCGCAGGCAAGTCCCAGATGGTGACGGCTGCTCTTAGGGAGCATGTAGTTGGGTTATGTAGACTTGGCCAAGGCACTGAAATGCTGGCTGGCAGTAAACCCTGGGAGGTAAGCTGGCTTCCTTGTTGAGTGTGGTGGAAACCATCAGCGCGCAGGGCTCCCAGGCTTCTGCTTATAGCAGCAGCCCCCTTTGCTTTCATCTCCTCTCTTCTCTTTACCTCCCATCCTTGCGGTTCATTAATTCTCAGCTCAGTGGTTGCATTGTCAGGGAGGCCCTGCTGAGTGTCCCAACAAGGTCCACTCCTGCTGCACACTTCACGTGAACACGCCTCCCTTCCCTGTCCCTCCATGGCCTCGTCCCAGTCCCCCGTCTGTCTGTCTGTCCCACTGGACTGGAGGCTTCAGGCCACCTCCTCGCGGCATCTGGCCCGCACCTGGGAAGTGCTGACCGAACACTGCAGGAATCAGCAGTATTGACCTGGGAGTCAGGACGCCTGCATGTCAGGCCCGTCTCTTCCCCTGAGTGACCTCGCTGCATCCTGTCCCTCGTCTGTGTGGCCGCCAACTGTGTCAACCACGGCAGCTGAGGCCCCTTGAGCCCTGGCTTTCTGTGACTCCATCACATCTCGTGAGCACTGGCTCTGTGTGTTCGGAGCTTCAGTTCTTTTACCCCAATGGTAAAAGCTAGTTCTTACCATGTCCTGAGGCCCCAATAGACAAATGGGAAGGGCGCTATTATTAGCCTCCACCTACAGATGAAGTTTGGTGATGAGCCCAAGGTCACGGCCGGATATGGTGTAGCCGGGTCCCCGTCCAGGCAGTCTGGCTCCAGCCCCAGGCTCTGCACCATTGCAGCCAGCTCATCCCCCAACTGCGTGCTGCAGCCCTAGGCTGCCGTCCCACCCTTCAGTGTGGGCCTGGGCAGAAAGGTGGGCCCCAGATCCCTTGGGCCTAGAAGGGGCCCAGGAGGTCTGTGTCTCTTCTCCACTCCTTTCCTCCTGTCAGCTTTCTCCCCTTTCCCCTTTGACATGTGTTTAGTGCTGGAAGCTCTGGGTGGGTTTGGGGGGGTTTCAGGCATGGGGACCCAGCTGCCTGCTGTCCCCTGATGCCTCATGGGTTCACCTGGGGATATATATTGGGACAGACTCCAGAATGAATGATGCAGATGGTGCTGTCAGGGCCAGGTGGGAGGAACGGTGGGCTAGGGTACCAGACAGGAGCCAGCTTCCAAGGGCCCTGCCGTCCTAAAGAGGAGCTGGGCTTCTCTGTCTGGAGCCTGTGTGAGAAAAGGGTGCCCTCCCCACTGCAATGAGCCTTTGTGGCTCTCTTCAGGCCTTCCAGATTTCCTCTCCTGTCCTCAGCAGGGGCTCAGGCTGTGGGTTTCCGCCTGGGGCCTGTGTGTGCCTCCTGTCCTGGCAGGACTGAGGGCTGGGCCATGCCCTGGCTTCATCCGCAGAGACATGACCTACAGATCTGGTGCCAAGCGCCTGGCTGGGGGCGGGTGGGGGCCAGCCCCTCTCTGCCTGGATGTGACACTGGGGCTCCTCTCCTCCCCCATTTCTGGCAGCTCCTTCCCCAGTCCTACCCTGTGATGTCTGGAGTCACCAATTGGTGTTGTTGCTTCTTATTTCTTCCACCCTGCCCCGTCATTCTTGGTTGTTGTTGTTCAGTCACTAAGTCCCATCCAACTCTTTTGGATCCCATGGAATGCAGCACGCCAGGCTTCCCTATCCTTCACTATCTGCCGGAGTTAGTTCAAACTCATGTTCATTGAGTCGGTGATGCCATCCAACCATCTCATCTTCTGTCGTCCCCTTCTCCTCCTGCCTTCAATCTTTCCCAGCATCAGGGTCTTTTCCTATGAATCAGCTCTTCATATGAGGTGGCCAAAGTGTTGGAACCATCCTTCTTGATATTTGATGTCATTTGTAGAATCCATATGAAGCCAGGAGCTAGGCAAAGGCCCTTCCTTGCAAAGGTGCCTTTGAATGTCGGAGAAAGGAAGACAGAAAGGTAGGCCAAGGTCTGAGCAGATCTGTTAGCCATGGCAAGCCCATGGCAGGGAGAATCTTGGGTTTGACTGCTAGTATGACGGCTGAGGTTTAGAGCGGAGGGCGGCCTGTGTTTCTGCCTTCAGGGCTGCTATGTGGGACCAGAGCACCAGCCCGATTGCCTTTGGGGTGTGGGTTCTGAGCAGTGAGTCTTATTTTTGCCAGCTCCAGAGTACATGCTGCTTCACTGGGTCCAGAGCAGGGCAGGCCTCGGGGACCCACCAGATGTGCGGGGCTCACAGCCAGGGCAGGGTTGGTTCAGACCGCTCTCCTTGTCAGAGGTGGCCAGCGGCACAGCAGCTGTCCTGGGTGCCGCATCTCCCTGGCAGGTGTGTACACAGGCCTGACGGTGTAGGGTGGGATGACTTCCTGCCTCTGTGCTCATCCCTTCAGCGAGGGGCTGTGAACCTGGGTCCTCGGGAACAGCCAGAACTGGGGGTTCTCTTCCCTGTGCCTCTGTTTCTCCTTCTCCCTCCCTCTCCTTCTGTCTTGTCTCTCTCCCTGGGGGCTAGGGGACCCAGAAGAACAAGCGTTCTCTGCATCCCAAGGGAGGGCCCTTGTGCGTCCCCGGCACTGATCCTCTCCCGTCCGGATCTGCTTCAGGGCCCTGCTGGACTCAAGCTCAGGCTGGAGAGAGAGGACAGGAGCTGGGGATCCTGCAGTCACCCCACCATGGCCAGTAACCCTGTGTCCAGCAGACCAGGGTCGTGGTTGTGCCTCCCCCTGGGGTTGGGGGTAGGAAGCTGCAGGAGGAGACTGCCCGCCCTGCCAGAGGTCACAGCATCCTGCTGTCCTGTGAGCTCAGCCGGCACGGTGCTGCAGTGAGGCCGAGGGTGGCCAGCAAGCGTCCAGGCAGGAGTCCCAGCCCTGTGGTCTGACTGTGAAGCAGAAGGACAGAGTGTGGGGGCCTTCTCCCCTCCCCCACCCCCCTCACTCACTCCTGCGCCAGGAGGCCCCCGAGGGACCCCGCTTCTAGACTGTGGCCTAAGTGCTAGAAGGGAAGGGGCTACGGGCCAGGCCTGGTCCCAGACAGACCCTGACTGGGGACGTCTGAGCAGCACGGGGTTTTGGATGTCTCCTCCACCCTACCCCACCCCCACCCGTCCCCTGGCTCCCTCCCTCCGTGCCTCCCTGCCTGCTGTGAGAGGTTTTTTTCTCCTCTCCTGCCGCAGCCTCTGGCCCAGAGGAGTTCGCTGCAGTTGAGGCTGCTGCAGAGGCAGGAGTGGGGAATAAAGGAGGTCGGGGGAGGGGAACGGTCCTCCTGCAGCCCCAGCTCCCTCTCATCCTTGTCTGGGCCACCCCTCTTGGAAGTCCCGTCCTAAGAGTCACAGAAGCCCTGGCCAACCCCCCGCTCCAGGGGTCTCCCAAGGCAGCCCTCTGGGTCATCCAGGGAGTGACATTGTTTGGGCCGCTAGCCCGTGTGTGGAGGTGACCCCCACCTGCCCTCTTCACAGCCACTGGGATGGGCTCTGCTGAAAGGGGGGCTGTCCTCACGGGGCTGCCGTCCCCCCACCTAGAAGTGCAGGGAGGGGGTCCCAGGTCTATGGCACCCCAGAACCCAGGCTCCTAACCACTGCACCCGCAGCTTCAGTCTGTCCAAGTCCTCGGCAGTTGGCCTTCTGCCAGACGTGCCCCGGGTATCTCTCTGCCACCCCGGTTCCCCTCTGGCTGAAAGGCTCTCCTTTTATTTTTTTTGGCAAGAGGAAGGAGGGAGCTTTCCTAAGGACCGTGTGGCTGTCCCTGCTTTTGGTGGGGTCCCCAATCTGACATTGGTCACCCTGAGGCTTGGAGTGACTGTTCCATACCCCTCGCTGAGGTACCGAGGCAGCCAGCATCTCCAGGTACAGGGCAGCTGTCCTGTCTCCTGGCCTGGTGTCTGGGGGGCGGTGGAGTCGGGTGCTGGCAGCTTGCTCAACAGGGCCGGCACCCCTCCCAGTGTCCTCAAGGTGAGCCCAGAGCCGCTGCTGGGCCTCCAGCCCGTCGGTCCGCTCTCTCCTCTGCCCTCTCCCCGTTTTCATTCTTAGCGGTCCCAGAACCTATTGGTAGAGACTGCAGCCAGCTTTTCATTTTGTTTTTGCTTTGCTGGGAAAGTCCAAATCTCCCACCAAGGGGAGGCAGCGGGAGGGGGTTCTGGTCTAAGATCTGAAGGCTGCATCTTCGGAAGCCCCTCTGCATAGTGATGTCCATCCCCATTACCTGTCCCTTGGGATTGTTTTAAGGATTAAGTCAGATAATGCACATGAAAATGCTCTTCAAATGGAGACTGCCATTCTCCTTCCAAGTGGGCTGGGAGGGGAAGCAGCAGCTCTCTGGCTCTCTGGGCACCAGGTGACTTGTAGGTGACTTGTGTTGGGTTATATAAAGACGGTAATTGATCTCCAGTTCTCTCATGTCCATTCTTCACCTAATATTTTCTCTCTCTCTCACTTATATATGTACTTAAATTTCCATGTATTGACAGCCTGCATAATGTATCCCCTTCAGCCGCTCTGTGTTTCTGTTCAGTCCTGTTTATATCACAGAATATGAATTGTTCTATTATTAGGCATCTCAGTTGTTTCCACTTTTTGCTATTTTAAATAGTACTTTGCTAGCTTTTAAAAAAAATTAAGGTATGATTCACGTACCGTAAAATTTACCCTCTTTTAAAGTGTACCATTCAGTAG